ACTGATCAATCCTACCAAATGTTCAAAGAAAAAAATAATGTATCAATCCTTTATAACTCTTCAAAAACTGAAGAACACATCCCAGGAATGGAAGTACTGCTCCAATACCAAAGTCAGGAAAGTTATCAAGGGAAAACTAGACCAATACCTCTATGAACACAGATAGACAGCAAATTAAAATATGGGCAAAGGAAGGTACACAAATGACCAAAAGGTAATGAACAAGCTGTTGTTGTCAGGATTTACAAGGGAAACAATTTAATATAGGACACATAATTTATATGATTATTTTATAATAGTGACCCAAATGTCAAGTACAAAGGAGTGCAGAAAATCTGTCCACACACTAAAGATCAAAAGAATCCAGCTGAGGGCCTAGGTCCCACGGCAATGTCCTGAGTCCAGTTTTAGACCTACAGTCTATGACAATGCCCCTGACCAGTGCAACTAGGGGCCTAGGGCCCATGATAATGTCTCATACAGGTCTGTTTCACGGATCTGCACTGGGAAGGCCCAAAGGTCAGTGGTGGAAGCTAGAAAGTCTGGGCCAGCAGGGTGAAGGATCTGTGCTGCAACAAGGAAGCAATGCTCAAGGTAAGGACAAGAGCTCTCCGTGAGGTACCACAGCCATCTTCAGCAGAGGAAAACCAGAGCGATACACTTCTACAGGAGAACCAACAGCACACCATCTCCCTCTCCAGAAAAGTTAATAATATGCGTTAGAATCCCTATCACTAAAAGTTGTTAAATTTTTAAAATGCTAAGTGCTTTGGTTTTAAAAGCCAACAGATCAAAGAATCTCAAATAGGAAAGGAGGATGTGAGGATGATCTGCCTGGACACCGGGCATCCCACTGATCTCCAGTGCTGACTCGGCTGCTCTGCCTGGCCAGATGGGTGTCCCCTTCCTCCCTCACTGCTCCATGTACATCCCTCTCGAAGTTGTATGCTCACTCAGTCAGAGAGGGTGACCACTCTCAATAGAGGAGGACCGTCTCCTCAGCAAGGGTATAGGAGGAGCTGTGCTCCCCTGCTAGAACTCCACACAAGCTCTCTAGGGACTGAAACGGCACAGACACAAAGGGTACAGGAAGCTGTGTCCTAGGTGCCTAAAAACACACTGCTCGGGAGCCTCTGCTGGGCAATGAGTGCCTGCAGTCTAACCAAAGGGGGCAGGTGAGACTATGGTCATCCCTGTTAGATCATCCTTATTCTAAGACACAAACCACCCGGACTAAAGGAGACTAAAGAAATAGGAAGTTTAGGCACACTTTAGGATCTGGAGCTGGAGAGACAAAAGTATGCTAGAACAACAACCTGAAGGTCCACTGGTAAATTCTTAAGCCTTCCTAGCCACATTTGCAGATGGAATTTGCAAAGAGGAACAAGAATTTTCATTTTTAGATGAAACAGTTCTCCTGCTATGGTTTGGGTGAGTACCCTGCAAAGGCCAGATGCTGGAGGTTTGGTCCCTGAGATGATGCTACTAGGAGGCATGTCTGGGTGGTGGGCCATGTGGGAGGGCCTGGGGAGACAGCACCCCCCAAGGGACTATGCATCCTCACTCATTCCTTTTCTTTGTATCAGTCAATTGTCTCAGGTGTTTCATTACAGTAACATGAAGCTGACTTATGCACGTTCCTTCTTGCTTTAGTTGTGACTGCTTTTCCAAAGATTAATCGTATATGAAGTCTTCTACTACAACACCCACCCTCCAAAACTACATCATAGTAAGTCACAAAGCTATGAAACTCTTTCTTTCACTTGCACTAAAAATACACTCATTTGCTGCATCTTTTAATAGTTAGAATCTACAGCCACTGATAATTTCCTACCAATCTGTCCATAACTCTGTAATGTTTCTATTGTTCCTATGCTATTTCATAAATGGATATGTTTATTACTACATGTTTTCAACAACAACCATTGAGAATAGTCAATGATTATTTAATTGATCACTCATGTACAGCTCTATTTGTTTTCCCTAGAGACTACTTTGAAGAAACCAAAGTATAGTACAACAACCATTGATAATTTCCTACCATTTCTGTCTGTAACTCACTATTATTTATCTATTTGTCTTCCTGAGAAACTATCTTGAAGATACCAATAGGTAAAATAACAACCATTGATAATGTCCTACCACTTTGTCTGTAATTCATAAATCCCCCTATTATGATGTTATCCTTCTTTCACTCTTTTAAATAAGTAAAAAAATAAAATGGAAAAATAAAAAAGTAAAAAAAAAAAAAATAGAATCTACCTTTTGCGTTTGTCTGTGGTACTGTTGAGTGAACCCAGGACCTTTATATTGAGCTACATCCCCAGATCTTATTTTTTATTTTTAGACAGAGTCTGTCTTAGTTACTTGTTTCTCATTGCTGAGACAAAATACCTGATACCCAGAATGAAGGGAGGGAAGGTTTACTGAACTCACTTTGTAGGGGTTTTAGTCCATGATCATCTGGCAAGGCAAGGCGGCCTGCCTGAGGGGCAGCTGTTTATGGCAGCAGAAGAAGCAAAAGCAACAAGAACAAAGGGGCAAACAAGCCTCCTTTCTTCCTTTCTACTGTATTCAGGTTACCCTCCTAAGGGCAGGTGTCGCACTCATGCCACCAATCCCAGCACTAGACAATGCACTAATTATAAACCCTAGATTCAGCTCTCTCCAAAAAACCTGCCTTCCATGCCCAAAGGGGGTTCTGGGGGGACATCTAGACACAAACCATAACAGAGTCTATGCCACTAAATTGTCCAAGCTGCGCTTGAACCGGCAATCCTCCTGAGTCAGCCTCCCAGAGTGCTCAGATGACAGGCGTGCTCCACCAAGGCCTGTTCTTCTCTGCTGTGTCATCACCCTGGTCTGATGACCTAAGGTGGGAAACTCCAGCAGTACATTTCTGGCTGTCTCTGGTGAAGGACACATGCGACAAGACTTCTGGAAAAGGTGACCTTACCTGACACCCACAGGGGGAAAATGTGGCACATTGTGTTTGTTTTTTGAAAACTTGAGTGAATTTAAACAAATGCACAGAGCAAACAGTGAGGCCCAGCCTTCAGCCCTGGGCTGTCAAAGCTGCAGCACTGTACGGGACACTGGTGCAGGGGGTGCTGGGTGTGGGGTGATATGGAAACTCCTTGTACTTTCTGATCTTCTGATACACTTAGTTTTGAATGTACAACTTGTTTTGAATGTAAAACTGATCTTTGTCCCTAGTTACAGTCACGGAACTCCCAAAACCCTTGAAAATACCTGAGAAATCAGTCTTTGGTTATTCATAATGGCCTTTGGAAAAGCTCTGAACAGCCCACGGAGGAAGGGGCCTGTCACTGGAAAGGCCAGTGAGCAACTGAGGCCAGGAATTCCGCCCCACCCACCAGCGTCCAGCAGAAGCAGGAGCTGCGCGCATCCAGGCTGCTGAGCACACGTGGGTGTCAGGGGGCACAGAGCTCACGCCACCACTCCCAGCCTCGCCCCATGCACCTTGTCCATGTGGCTGTTTCCAGAACTCTGCACCACACCAGCCAAAGGGAAGGAAGCACTTCCCCAAAGGCAGTGAGTTATTCTAGCAAATGACTGAACCCACGGAGGAAGTCAGCAACCCAACTTCCAGCTGGGAGGCAGAAGGGGCAGAGGCTTGGACTTGTGACTGGCATCTCGCGGAGTCGGTCCTGTGAGAGTAAACTCTGCCACAGGATCTCAGGATCAGGCAGAGCCTCTCAGAATGGGACTGAGCTGAGGATGCCAAGCTGGGCTATAGCAAGCTGAAGGGCTTGCCTTGGAAAAATCCATCTATCTGGTGTCAGAAGTGCTGTGTTGAGAGTATAGAGAGATCAGTGTTTTCCTAAATATAAAGTCTATTAATTTCAGAAAACTAACAGTGAGCCTGGCCATCAGCAGCCTGGTACTGTTCCTGTCTCTTCCTCAACCTAAAACTCAGAGGAGTGCTCGTCTGAAAACCTCTTCTCTTCTCCAGTAGTCAGTAAGGAAGGACCAGGTCTGCTTTCTGCCCTTTAAAAACTCTGTGCATGACAATTCCCGCATTTCTAACTCCAATACCCACCTGCCTGCTGGCCCGACCTATCCCCAGGACTGTCCTATCCCATTCAGCTTGTCCAAGCAGAACTGATTTCCCCAGGCCTAGGCCTTATGAAGCCTTCCCAGTCTCAGTTCCTGGTAAATTATCTTCTGGCTCCTTTCTCTACAAACACTCAGACCCTCAGGGACTCTGGCTTGACATCACTTTCAAAACCGCATCCTGACCTGACCAATCACCCTGACCAAGGCTGCTCGGTATTCACCCGGGTCCAACCTGGACATTCAATCACTGCTCCCCACTCTGCGGCAACTGCCCTCAGCCCGCTCTCCACAAAGTATCTTTGTGCTTCACACCCACGAGGCACCCCCACAGCATTCACAATCTCTACCTAACTCCCATTCCTAAACTCACAGGTCCTAACCTCCAGGACCTCAGAATGTAACTGTATTTGGAGCGCTAAGTGAGATAAAAGGAAGTCACTGGTTGACTCCCAATGCTTTAGAATCAATGTCTTCGTGAGAAGAGCAGACTAGGACACAGACACACACACAGAGGACGACCCTTGAAGGAAGGGAGAGGACAAGAGTCTCTGCAGGCCACCGGGAGAGCCTCAGCAGGAACCGGCTTCATCGTGGACTTCCTACTGCTGAGCCCCAGTCTTGGGCGTTGCGTAGGGCAGCAGGAGCTGACCTGTACACTCTGCTTCCTTGGTACTTTTTACTATCGCCTGCATACACCAAGCACACCCAGGGCTGCCTCTCCACTCCATGTGCACCTGCTGTCTGGGCAGGATTAGGTACTCTATCTGTTTCTCAGTGGCAGACACTAAGCCTAGAAGACTTCAGAGGCAGAGAAGAGATAAATATTAAGCCTTATCTGGTTCTATGATCAAAGCACAATATCAGTACTAGACTTTTACCAATACAAGGTAACTCCAGGAAAAAAAAAGGCAGCTACTTACCTTTCAACCCAGAGCACTGAGACGAGCTTTATCCCCCTCTTCCGGGCCTTGTCCCAAGTGCTCTGGTACCCATCTTTGAAGACAACATGAGTTACTTGTTTGTTAAAAGTTTTTGAAACCTGAGGACAAATGCAGAAAACAAAGTATATATTAATATTTACTCACAGATTCCTACGTACACCTAGTCAAAAGAGATCCTTTATTCAGTATATGTCACAACAAAAGTGTTTGAAACCCCAACCCAGCGTTCCAGGTCTCAGAATCCATCAAGGAAATACTCTGACAAATGTGTAACACTGCTAAAAACACATCTGCTCCAGTTTCTCTCTTTTTTTATTAGTGTATGTTTGTGATCTGTAATAATTACATTCATCTTGGACCTGCTCCAGTTAGTAGTGGTACCACATGCCATTTGCTTACCTCTACTCCTGGAAAAGCTTGAAGTGGGATGAAAAGAACAGAATCGCAGCCCATGAAGATAAAGAGAACAGAAGTAGACAACAGGAACCATATGTTTAGCAGCTAGAAAGAGGGAGCAACTCAGACAAGGAAAGATACTTAAGAAAAGTCCTCTACGAAAGAACATGACATCCCAAGGAAACAGACAACAAAGGGAACACACAATCTAATTAAAATTAAAAGTGCTTAGAACAAGCATGGCGGTGCATGCCTATAATCCCAACACTCGAGAGGCTGAGGCAGGAGGGATCATGGGTGAATTTGAGGCCACCCTAGGCTATACAGGGAGTTCAAGGCCAGCCTGGACTACATAGCAAGACCCTGTCTTAAAAAAAACCAAAAAAACAAAGTGCTGAATATTTTCAGAAGACAGACTCATGTGATAAGATCAGATCATTTTTCAAAAGGATCAGAAATCTAAGCAGCTGCTGGAAATTTAAAAACGACGTTAGTAAAAAACAAAATCTACAGAAATGTCAGACAGTGAGGTTGAGAAAATCCTCCTGGCCTCAGAGCACAAATGGGAAGGAAAGAGTGGACACAGAAACTCAGACCAGCAGCCAGGCAACAGAGTGGGAGGAAAGCAGGAACAGAGAAAATGAATAAGAACTGGAAGAGAAACGGTGACAGAACACTCTCTCAAACCGAAGCACATTCCTTGTGCATGACCCTCCCACCCACCACGGGCCAACACAAGAACACAGCCACACCAAGCCCGTCACCATGAAGCTTCAGTATAACCAGAGCTAAGAAAAATACGAAAATGGTGGGAAGTCCATGGCCAAATAATTAGAAGAAAGAATGGAACCGGGCATAACGGATTTCCACACTTGCTTTCTCGCTCTCCTCCACTCTGTCTGGTCTCCTTCTAGGGTCTTCAGTCCCATCCCCTGCCTTCAACCCTCAATAGGCCTCCTCCTTCAGCCCTCCTGCTAACCATGCCCCAGTGGCCAACAGGAATATTTACGGCCTCGCCCGAGCCCTGGGGTCCTGACCCACAGCTAATGGGCCAGGCTTGCCACCTCCAGTGCCAGGTTTGTCCACCCAGGTTTGTCCAGATGTTTCCCACAGGCCCACATTCACGCCTCTCCTCCAGAAACCTGTCCTGTGCTCCTTGCTGATTAACAGCCCGGGGCAGCCACCGAATCCAGGACAGAACCCAGGTTTCACCTCAGAGTCCTCCTTCTTATTCAATGCCTGCAAGACCAACTGCTCTGGAAGAACCACAGCTCTCAACTCTTCAGATGCAGGTTTTGCTTTTTCTTCCACCACTTACTCACCCAAGGCCAGGCCCTTCTTGTTCTAATTAATAAAGCCCCAAATAAGAAGATGGCAATGTATCTCTCCACCTGTCAGAAAACTGTCATATGTATCAACATGAAAAGGAATTTCTTACCTTTGCACCCATATCCACAAGCTGGTTCGTAAATGCCTTTGAATAATTTTCTGTCCCATTGGAAGACCACACTTCAACATAGGCCACTACATCTGAAAACAGGATATTAGTGTGAAATCCTCATAGGTAAGCCCAGCATCCCACGGCAAAGGGTTTTCCTCTTGTTCTATTTACGTTAAAAAGTAAATGTGAAACTTCTACTAAAAACTTATTCAAAGGAGCACCAGTGCTACTCGTGGTACGTAAAACTTTAAATAAAAAACAACTCTCCTCATGCACATGCCGGATTACAACCCTAACATTTAATGCTCTTCCTTAATTCCTAAACAAGGTGTAACCTTCTCAGGGCAGGAATGGCTTTCTGTAAAGGGACATAGATCTAACACTTTAGGCTTTGTAGGTCAGGCACATCATCCACCGAACTTCACAGGCAGAGCAAGGAAGGAGCCACGGGCAGCAGCGAATGGGCCGGCACCGCAGTGTTCCAGAAGAACTTTATGCAGAAGGAAATTTGCTCAGATTTTCGTGCGCCACCCTTCCACTTATTTCGCCCGACTGCCTAACAACGGAGCAGCATTCTCAGCCCGCGGGCCCTGCAAAACCGCGCTGCGGGCAGGTGGGCTCTGGCCGCGCGGGCGCGCGCTT